CGTCTATGGCAGGATGGCTGCCAGCCTGGCCACCAAAGGCCACATGCGAACCCAGGAGCAGGTTAGCATGAAAGTCAAGTTAGTCCGGCGAGACCCCCAACCCTGAGCCCTGAGCTTCCTCTCCCCCTTCTTCCCCTTGATTCCCCCTTCCAGCTCCCTCCTCCCAGGTTTCCCCCTACCCTCTTCCACTCTCTCTTCCCTTCTCCCACCTCCTTTTTCCAGTCTCCCCAGAGGTTCATCTCCCTCCCCCCCCCAGTTTTGTTCTAAACCCAGTTTCTATTTTTGAACATACGTGTCTTTTATTTGACATCAGGAAGTGGGGCTAGGGAGGGGTAAGTGAAAGGATGAGAGGGAGGAATGGGGCACGAGCCCCCTATGGGGAGGACCGGGGTGGCTCTGAGGGATCCTTGGGGTGGACGCTCTCCCTCAGGGCCTCCTGGATTCTGACAGCCCCCCAATGGACCTCCCGGATGGCAGCCTGCAGCGAGTGCAGCCGGGCTGATGGCAACGACCTCAGGAGACACACCGGCATGCCCAGGGGCAGCTCTGGCTCCATGTGGCTGAGTGTTGTGGTGTCCTGAGTGCAGGCCTTCAGGGCACTCCAAGACAGGACCGCTTTGCTGTCCCTCATCGAGGTAGACAAGCAAGCAAAGAACTCTGAGAACTGCCTGTCCGGGGTGGGGGTAGGGTCCCTTTAAGCACCGAGCTCAGTTAGCCTCAGGCAGCAGCCCCACACGCTAAGTCCTAACCTGATGCCCTGCCGGCACTGGTTCTGGCCAGCCGTAACTTCGGTTCAGGATCTACTCAGTGTGGACGTGCTATTTCGAAATAGCAAAACGCTACTTCAAAATAGTTTTTGTGTATAGATGCATTATTTCGAATTAAGTTCATTCAAAATAGCACTGTAGTATAGACATACCCATAGGGCTTTACCCTCTCTAAAGCCTAAGATGGAGCTAACTTAAACAGCATTCAGCTTCCTCAAACCTGGCTTTATTTTCCCCAAAACCATGTCAGCTTTAAGGCCTGCTCCCAGGAAACTGAAGTGAAAGTGACCACCCACTTTAAAAATCAAAAGGTGTTTTTTGTTATTGTCACTGTGTTTCCCCTCCTCACCTTCAAAGAATCAGTCATTACCTCAAGCTATTTTTTATGATTATTTTGCTGGGATTTTTTTCTCCTTTGCTTCTATTCCTCATAGTATATTATCGAGCCCTTTTCTTCATACCTGCTTCCTCCTGGGAATTTAGACATTATGTCCAGCTATTAGCAATATTCTCTAAGGGACAGGTTCTGACTAGGCCTATGATTCTTCATGCACAGGCCTATTTATTGTATGATCATCTATTCTGTTCTGCACTGTATACCATCACCATTAATTACTTTGTACATGCATTAGGGATGCTACTGATTGTGGGAAGATGGAATTTCTTCCTGATTATTGCATCAGGCAATGAGGCAGGAATGAGAGGGCTTGCAAGTTTTATGTTTGTGTAACTATGGACTCTCTTCTGAGCTATGTACTTCAGTGAGTCCACAAGTTCAGTATACACTGCATATGATTAGCAGAAACTTACCCAGTGAGTAGTTAGAGGACACGTAGTAGCCATCATACTCAATGGTACATGTGAGGGATATGTCTTCAGTCAGATTGAACTGCAATTTGGCAGTGACATTATAGAGGCTGGTTTTGTTTCCAAATAACTCAGTTTTCCAGTCCACAGACATATTATTGAGGATCCCAGAGACTTTGGGATTTGGGTAGCCACCATAAGAAGAACAGTTCACCATCACCTGAGTTGAACCACAAGCATCCTTGGGTACATCAGCTGTTATGACTGGTTTGCTGAAGTTAGCTGAAGGAAGGCAGAGGGAGAGGTTTAATTATCATGCTGTCAGATGAAGCACAACATTTCAGTCTTCCTGACCCCTTGTTATCATTATAGAGTCCACGGCACTTTACATTCTAGTGTCTCCAAATTCCTTCAGAAATTACAATCAGATAGAGGATTCTGCTATTCACCATTAGTTCCTGCCCTACCCTAGTGTCCAGTATAGCAGCATACTGGTTTACCTGCTCTGAAGTAATTTGTAAGGTGGACGTCTGCTCAGTGGAAAGTACTATAGAATATATAGGGTTTGTGGTTTTAATTGTTTATTACACAAATGTGTAGAAAAGATAACACATGGTGAGAGATGGGCAAAACAAAAGTATTGCTTGCATTGCAGTGCAAATGTTCCCACTTTCTCCATCAATGTACTTCAACACTGCATCAGAGGCTCCATCGTTAGGTTGTGCAAAGGGAGTTGAGTTGCTAAGGAGTATTCATACATTGGCCTCTCTTCTGAGCCATTTAGCAAGGAAACCACTTAATTAATGATTTGTATTATAGTCATTGTGTTGGGACACCCTCCTCCCCGGCAACTGGAATCAGGGCCCCATCATACTGGGTACCATACAGATGCATAATAAGAGTTCCGCCTCTGCCCCAAAGAGCTTGCAATCTAGGGTGATATGGTCTAAGGATGGGAGAGGAAACTGAGGCACAGAGGGATGAAGTGACTTGCCAAAGATCACACAGCAAATCAACAGCAGAAGGAGAAAGTTCACATGTTGCTCAGTTCTAGTCCAGTTAGCACAAAGGTTGATCTTGAAGATAATCACTTCAAAACCGGACTGAAACCACTAGCTCATTTCACACAGGAGCACTGAACAGTCATTACATGGTAACAACTTCAATCACTGTTGTCCTAGTCAACTAGCAACCTAGAAGTGAAAGGCACCATATCCCTTTACCAACACCTAAAGGCTGAAGCCTCTCACAGCTCTTACATGGGCCTGTATGAATGTGGAGATTGGGGAGAGCAGAACAGAGGGGAGACTGACTGTTTTTAGTACTGTGCTACCTTTCCCATTAAGTTGATTTGTCAGCCCTAGGCATGGTCCTCTCCTTAGGCGATACACCCACAAATGGGGGAGTGGACTGTTCTTAGAAACACAGGCAGTGAAAGCTGGACAATTCTCTCAGTTCACCTCAGTTTTCACTTGCTGATAGAGAGACAGGTGTCCCTGAACATCGGGCAAAAGTCCCTTTTGCGCAAAACTTTTGTGCAAAAGGGCCAGTGTAGACAGCTGAGATTTGTTTTGCGCAAAAAAGCCCCGATGGCAAAAATGGCGATCGGGGCTTTTTTGCTCAAAAGCGTGTCTAGATTGGCCACGGACGCTTTTCCGCAAAAGCACTTTTTGTGGAAAAGCGTCCGTGGACAATCTAGACGCGCTTTCCCGCAAAAAAGCCCCGATTGCCTTTTTCGCCATCGGGGCATTTTTGTGGAAAACAAATCTGAGCTGTCCACACTGGACCTTTTGCGCAAAAGGACTTTTGCCTGAACGGGAGCAGCATAGTATTTCCGCAAGAAGCACGGATTTCTTACAGTAGGAAGTCAGTGCTTTTGCGGAAATTCAAGCGGCCAGTGTAGACAGCTGGCAAGTTTTTCTGGAAAAGCGGCTGATTTTCCGGAAAAACTGGCCAGTCTAGACACAGCCCGGGTGTTATATCTATGCATGCTGCTACAAGGCAGGCTGAGGACTAATGATGGGAAAAACTGAGGAGAGATGCACATTTAAGATGTGGAAGATTCCATTGCTTCTTCATGGGCCTAGGTAGAGGCTTCCCTGTGATATTTCTTGGACTTTCTGCTGTCATCTGGGTTGAGAAAAGAAAAATCATCGTCTCTGCTCTCAGCTGAAACCAACTGCCAGAGAGGCAGCAGTGCAAGTGGAAAATGATGCGAATAGAATTTCTTCTAACTACCACCAAAGGTTCAGATTCGTTTTGAGCAAGAGCACTCCTGTTCCTCCACTAAACCATTTCTCCAGGGCAGTGCTTAACGTGGTCTGAAAAAGCATGTGGGGGGAACAATCATTTTCTACAGAAAGGAATGGAACATCATCAACATCTGACTGTCTCTCCCCTCATATCAATTCTGCTCTCACATCTCACATCACATGTTCTGCCTTCCTTCCTCCCCCTGGCTCTCCATCAAGTGTGCTCCATCCCAGCTTCCTGTCTGTATTTCCTGAAGCTCCTGGGGTCCTTCACTTGCCTCTCCAAGGAGGCTGCCCTAGTGTTCCCTCTCTTCCTTCTCATGCTGGTGTTTTAGGCAAAAAAGAGACCAGATAGGCCTGTCCCCATTGCTCACAGGAGGTGATGGTTGGGGCTGGGGGGGGGAGGGAAAAAGGAATAGGGCTCTTCCCGCTCCCCACTGCCCTCCTGGAAGAATAGGCTCCTGAGGAGTCCTGAGAGGTGGGGTGGGGGGAAAGAGCTCTGCCCATTTCCTGCATTAACTCTGATTAGCTGCTTATGCCCCAGCAGGCAGTTAGGTAGCCAATCAGAGGGGGTTTTCCCCCATGCAGGGCTGACATATGCACTCCTCAATGATGCTCAAATTGTAAAACTTTTATTGCCTGGGTCTGGAACCCCTGCTATTTATGCACAGATCTGACACTCATTTACCCTTTGTAGCATGGAGATATCTCATCCCGACAGTGCTAGCGAGACCTCTAGAATGTTTTAGGTCTCTCAAAGGGTGGTGGGGAAAACCAGGAAGGGTCTATGACTGCTGAGAGGTGGGGCTTGACTAGAAAGCAGGTGGGGCATCTAGTAGTTCATCTTAACCACCTAGCCAGGAAGAAGAGGTGGTTGAAACTTTCTTTAAATAGCTAACAAAATAACCCAAAGCACAGGACTTGGTGATAGGATACTTCAACTACCCAGACATCTGTTGGGAAAATAACACAGCCGGGCACAGATTACCCAACAAGTTATTGGGATATATCAGAGATACTGTTTTTATTCTAGAAGGTAGAGAATGCTACATGGGGGAAGGCTTTTCTAGATTTGATTTTGACCAATCGGGAAGAACTGATTGAGAATTTTAAAGTGGAAGGAAGGTTGGGTGAAAGTGATCTCGCCCAGCGTGCTAGTTCGAATCGCAGCTGATTCGAACCAGGAAGTGTGTGCCGGGATTCCTCATTTTTTGAGGAGTAATGTTAGTTCGAACCAAGGATTTTGGTTCAAACTAACATTACTCCTCAAAAAATGAGGAATCCCAGCGCACACTTCCTGGTTCGAATCAGCTACGATTCAAACTAGCATGCAGGGCGAGATCTTGCTAATGAAGTGCAGGATTTTTAAATCCCCGCTTCATTAGCAATTTCGGTACACTATATTTGCATCCCTATCTCGAGATAGGGAGCAAGTGTAGACGTACTATAAGGGCAGCCTAGGGAAATACAGACCAGTCAGCTTAACTTCTGTACTAGGAAAGATAATGGAGCAAATAATTAAGGAATCAATTTGCAAATATTTGGAAGATAATAAAGTGAAAGTAATGGTCAGCATGGATGTGTAAAGAACAAATCTTGTGAAACCAGCCTGATAGCTTTTTTTTTATAAGAAAGCAAGCCTTGTGGATAAAGGGGAAGCCATAGATATAGTATATCTAGACTTTAGTATAGCTTTTTATACAGTTTCACATGACCTTCTCATTAACAAAGTAGGGAAATAGATGGGGCTACTATAAGATGGGTGTATAACTGTCTGGATAACTGTTCCCAGAGAGTAGTTATCAATGGTTCCCAATGATGCTGGAAGGACACAACAAGTGGGGTTCTGCTGGGATCAGTTTTGTGACCAATTCTATTCAATATCTTCATCAATGATTTAGATAATGGCATAGAGAGTATGCTAATACAATTTGCAAATGATTCCAAACTGGGAGGGGTTGCAAATATTTTGGAGGATGGAGTTATAATTCAATAGCATGTGGAAAAACTGGAGAAATGGTCTGAGGTAAATAGAATGAAATTCAATAAGGACAAATGCAAAGTTCTCCACATAGGAAGGAGCAATCAGTTGCATACATACAAAATGGGAAATGACTGAGTAGAAAGGAATATTTTAGAAAGGAATTTAGGGGTCATAGTGGACCACAAACTAAATATGAGTCACCAGTGTAAAACTGTTAAACGAAAGCAAACTTCATTCTGGGATGCATTAAAAGGAAGGCTGTACCATGTTTCAGGAAAGATGTGGATAAATTGGAGAAAATCCAGAGAAAAACAACAAAAATCGTTAAAGATCTAGAAAAAATAACTTTAGGTTTATTTAATTTGGAAAGAAGATGACTAAGAGGGGACACAACAGTTTTCAAGTATCTAAAAGGTTGTTACAAGGAAGAAGGAGAAAAATTGTTCTCCTTAACCTCTGATAATAGGATAAGCAGCAATGGGTTTAAATTGCAGCAAGGGAGGTTTAGGTTTATGAAAAACTTCCTAACTGTTAGGGTGATTAATCAATGGAATAAATTGCCTAAGGAGGTTGTGGAATCTCTGTCATTTGGGATTTTTAAGAGCAGGTTAGATAAACACCTGTCAAATAATCTAGATGAAGCTTGGTCCTACCATGAGTGCAGGGGACTGGACTTGATGACCTCTAGAGGTCCCTTCCAATTCTCTGATTCTCTGATTGACACTTGGTCTTTGCATATTAATTAAAGGCATCTGAAGATTTGGGTCACACCACTTACCTACAACAAACAAATCCACAGTATTTACACAGAGTTTCTGAGGTCCTGTCACTACCTCTTGAACTATGCATTGATATGTGTCCTTGTCTGATACTTCCACTGGAGAGAACACCAGCTCCAAGCTCGTTAGGTTCATCTTGGTCCGGTTATTATACTTTCGACTGTATTCAAACAGGGTGCCTGTTGCATAAGCGAGCACTACTTCTTGTGATTTTGTTTGCCAATAAACGCGGTAATTATTCAGTGAATCGGAGCTGGATATTTTATGGCAGCAGGGCAGGGTGGCTGTCGTCCCCACTGCGGCTTTGACCGTTTTTTCCTTTGCAAAGACTGCAGGGAAGCAAACAGAAAACAACATATGTCACAAGAATCACATACTCATAAAGCCCCTTCTCCTGCCTACAACTCCATCACTCTTGATTCAACTCTGTCTATTCCCACTGACATGCTCCAGCTTTTCATTGTCCAGTTTACATTGAAAACACAGCCTAGCATGGAAGGGACCTATCTCAGGGAACATCCACACAGCAGATCTAAAGCCGAAATAAGCTACACAACTTGAGCTATGCCAATTGCGTAGCTTAAGTCAAAATAGCTTCACTTGGCTTATGGTGCTGTCTATGCAGCAGGAAGTTAAAAAAAGAACACTCTTCCTTCAACTTCACTTACTCTTCATCAAATGTGGGCTACAGGAGTCAACTAAGAAGTTCTCCGAGCTCACTATTATTTCGAAATAATGGCTTGTAGTTGTGGATGCACCCATTGTTATTTTGGAATAATGTCCGTTATTCTGAAATAATGCTGCTGTGTACACGTGCCCTCAGTGATGTGTTTTTGTGATGCTGCAATCTCACATATGGATCTAAGTAATAAAAAATTGTCTCTAAGCATGCGGGTTAGTGAAAATGAATAGGGCAGCCGTGTGTGTGTTGATAGATCAGAACTTTACAAATTTAGAGTAAGTAATCATCACTATTGTCATTGAAGGAGTGATGTATGTTGTCAAAGCCATTAGGGACCAAAACATCTCCTCTTCTCTCGTCTTATAGCTGTTTGTTTGCAAAATCCCTGTAATTTCCCAGTGTTTCCTCACCCCCAAGTAAATGCAGCAATGCATCTTTTTTGTAAAGGGAAGGGAAGGAGAACCAATCCAACATCCCAGCAATCATTAGCAACTGTACAACAAGTGGGCATCATCTCTACACTAACAAACTTGGAGATTCAGGTCTGAAGTTCATGAGCATCCCTACAACAAATCTGGATACATACCCTGGTGTTCATAAGGAGCCTCATTACACCAAAACTGTCAGCTCACTGCTCATAAGCATCCCTACAATAACAAACCAATGTCACAGCCTGGTGCTCATGCTCATCCTTGTGATAAGCCACTACACTTACGAAAGGGGTAAAAAGGAAATAAAATATTGGCACGGAAACAACTCAGTTCTGTCCTGCTTTGCAATATTCCCCTTTGCAATCTGCTTGCATGGTCAATTCTGCAATGCAGCTCTACAGTAGCTCTGCACCTCCACCCCCTATCTGTCCACACAGTGAAGGAAGGACACCAGTGATGGTGGAAGCTGGAAGGCTTGAGAGGAACTGTGATAACAGAACAGAAGTTAGCTGATGATTGGTTGGCTCTTAGTGATGACACAGCCGTGTCTGGGGGAGAATGAATGATCTTTTGGTTAAAGCAAAATTTGGACAGTTCTATTCAGACCTCTGCCATGAGTTGCTAAGTAGCTTTAGAGACGTCACAATGTTTCTGTGACTTAATTTCTCAAAATGAGAACTGTGACACTTACCAAGCCTCAAGGGGCTCCTAAGTCTTAATGCATTGCTTGTAAAGCTCTCCAAGAATCCCCCAGAGGGCTCTAGAGAAGGACAAAATCTTAGCCTGCCCTGTTGCTCTCTGATTTGCGGGAGGCGTGTCTGCTCTTAACCAGAGTTCACAATTCAGAAGCCAAATCAAACCAAAGAGATTTCATTCCAGCCTAAAATGCACAGGGATTCCAGTGCCAGTGCACATGCACCTGATCTACCCACCTGCCTCTTGGCAAACCAGTAGGAAACATAAAAAATGCCAGGGCCAGCAAACATTGGTTTTGCATTTAACTGGGGAGCTCTTCTTTGGCTCAGGCACTGCATTGCCCCTCACTAGTGACAGATCCCAGGAAAGCTCTTTTATCTCCATAAAGTATGCTACTCTGTGTAACTTAAACTGCAGGTCTTGCTGCTTCTCCTCTTTGTAAGTACTTCTGTCTCTGTCTTCTTCCTGCTTGTGTCTCCTTTCAGCTCAGTTACTAACATTGATAGACTTCCGATAACTGCAACTGAAACTTTGGGATTCTGACCTGATATTAGCAGCCAATGGAGCTGGTGGGGTTTTTTTTATGCTAGAGAAGAGTGGGCGTAGCTGTAAATGTCAATGAGACATCACATCATAAGTTGCATGAGGTTCTCCACATTTTGCCACCAAGAGTCTCCTCTGCAACCAAAAGGAGAACAAAAACCTCCTGGGCAGTACATAGGCAGAGGTTGGAAACTCCTGATGATGTCAGACTTGCCCTTAAAAGGCACTGTACCCATGAAACTGCAACCCGGACACTTTAAGCCTAAGACAATCACAGTCTGGGAGAGTCATGCAGCTCCACAAAAGTCCCTAGTTCTTGTGAGTTTACTTTAAAGGTGAACAGCAATGCAAAAATAAAAACTGAATCCAGTCCAAATTTCTGTACCAAATGTTCCCCATCACCAGGTTCCATAGGAGGCATCCACTATGGAAATACATTTTCTTGAATTATCTAGACCCGCGTTTCTTAAACTGTGGGTCCCGACCCCCAGTGGGTCGCAAGCAACTTAGAGGGGAGTCACGGGATCACAAAGTTTGAGAACCCCTGATCTAGACAAAAATTCTTTGCTCCACCCAACCTGCCAATTAAATCCTCAAGGGTATTGTTTTCTGTACCCAGAGTAAATAGGTACTTCATTGTGACCCCAAGGTATGAAGGAAGCAGGGATAAAGGAAGGAATGTCAGTTCTCTCCCTCCTCCTTCAGGAAAAAAAAAACAGAGGCAGGGGTTACTTTATTTGCTTTCTACAGTGGACTCAGGTGCTCCCTCCCACTCCATCTGCTTGGTGATTCCACCTCTACTTCCTACCAGACCGGAGACACTGTTATAAGTGTGTCTTTAAATAGCTCAGGCAGGAGTAGTGTGTTGCCCAGGAGAGGTGCTCTCAGCATACCATGGCAATGAGGAAGTGTTAGTAGGAAGCTTGGCAGAATTCAATCTGTTTTCACTTTCAGATGACATAGTAAACAAGAAACAGGCAGCAAATGTAAACAAACTTGTGTGTCCCGGTGATCGGCCGAACAAGGAGGAGGACTGAGTGGATTTTTGGGGCTCTAACATTTGATGATGTTTTATTTTTGAATTAAGATTTTTTTGCACATAATTCTACATCTGTAAGTTCAACTTTTATGATAAATAGATTACTCTACCGTACTTGTATGAGGCAATTTAAAAATACAATTTCTTTTGTTTTTTACAGTGCAAACATTTGCAATAAAAATAAATATAAAGTGAGCACTGTACACTTTGTCTTGTAGTTGAAATATAAATATTTGAAAATGTAAAAACTTCCATAATATTTAAATAGCTTATATTCCATTATTGTTTGATAGTGTGATTAAACACATGATTAATCATGGTTAATTTTTTTAATTGCATGATTAATGGTGATTAATTATGTAAATTGCTTCACAGCCCTAGTTGTGTATATTTGCTACAGACAGGCTCCTGTGAACAGTACAGGTAACTCTCAAGTAGGGCTAGTGTGACACTGGAGATAATTCAACAAATCATCACACGTCCTCTGCAGCTAATATGCATGCACCAATTCTATTGGTTGTAATGCCTCTGTGCTCTGAGGAAGTCAGGGCACATGTGTTGAGAATGATATTTGGTAGATTATTGGCCCTAACAAGTACCACTCTTTGAAGATATGCTGTATTTTGGGTAGCTGCACATCAGCTAGGGCATGAGCACCTGACAGGGTTCCTATGGAACTTCTATTTCTGCTCCACTGTGCATAGAGGCAGAGAGATACTGGACTCAGCAATGGGCTCTCCCTGAATCACGTCACCAAGTGCTGGAGTCAGTAACAGAGCCTTCTACATCCATAAGTTAATTGCAAACAGGGGGGCTGACAGCTTCCACAGGCCCCCACCTTGATTTTAAAATTGCCGATGGAAGAGAGTCCACCATGAACTTTGGTAAATTATTCTAGTGATTAACTACTCTCTTTCTTACGAAAAAGTGCAGACCTTGTTTCTCGGTTGAATTTGTCTAATTCCAGCCACATGGTCTTGTTATAACTTTTGTCTACTAGAAGTGTCCTTTATGATCAAATTTCTGTTCCCCACATAGATGTTAACAGACAGTGATCAAGTCACCCCTAGCCTTCTCTTTGTTAAGATAAACAGATTTAGATAATTGAGTATTGCTGTAAGACATGTTTTCCAATCCTTTAATCATTCTCAGGGCTCTTCTCTGTAACCTCTCCAGCTGATCAACATCCTTCCTGAATTATGGGCACCAGAACTGGATGCAGTATTCCAACAGCAGTCTCACCAATGCCAAACGGAGGTAAAATAGCCTTTCTACTCCTTTTGAACATTTCCTTGCTTTTACATGCAATAATCACATTAGCTCTTTTGGCCACAGTCTGTGTCGACAGCCTTGCTGGGCCCTTGGGCAAGGTGGGGGGGACCCTCTTTTGTGCCCCCAGAGGGCTGGGGCCTCAGGTGGAAAGGGTGGGGCTGGCGTAGCTAGAGTTCAGCACCACCCAGACCACAATGCACTGCGTAGTGGTGGCATCAGGTGAGAGTCCCAGGCTCTTTTGTATTGCCAGATCCCAGGGCTGTTGTCCCTTTTGTCCCTGGCCTGTTGGTGGGCCTGACCATAGGCGTGTGCACGGGGTGTGCCGGGTGTGCCCAGGCACACCCTAATGTCTGGGGCCAGCCAGCAGCTGCTGGAGGAAGAGGGGGATTTGTGATGGAGCGCCACAGCCCTCACTTTAAATTCCCCACAGCCATCTACTGGGCACTGTGGGGCGTTCTCAAACGCCGCGCAACAAGTGAGAGGGGAAACTCTGGGAACTTTAAAACCCAGCGGCACAGCTCCAAAAGCAGCTGGGGCCTGACTACAGATGGCGGCCCGGTCCCCGCCCTACAACACTGCGTGGCACCCCGGAGGTGCCCCCACCCATCCCGGCAGCATCGCATGGTGCCCGGTCCTGTAGCACTGTGCAGTGCCCCAGGGGTACCC